TAATTAAGGGAATGTTAATTTTTTGAAAAATGTATAATTAAAAAAAAAGGCACAATTGTTAAATTTATTTATAATATTTTTTTTATTTAAAAATATATGTTTAATAAAGAGAGAGGGAAAAATAAATTTTAATTTGATGGAGCCAAACAGATTAAACTTGTCTTATACAATTTATTGAAAATACATGTTTTTTCAATCGATCAATTTCAACTATGAGCCTGTTTGGGAGTGATTTTGAGAATTGATTTTTTGACCATTAGGAGAAAAGTAAGGTCCACCTGTGAGAGAAAAAGTTAAATATGACGGCTGAAATAGTGAAATAACAATCAAAAAATCAATTTTTTGGATGAAAAAATGAAACCCAAACAGGCCCTATACATTCTTACAATTATATAATTATTTAATTTTATTTTCTATAATAATAGATGTGAAATTACTGACAATAAGAAGTCAATCTTCAACTTAAGCACCTGTTCGACTCCAATTTGTTACATACAATTTTAACTGTACATTTTATAAAATTCACAGTTTTTATCCTTATTTCAATTACTCGTGTCACTTACACTTATTAAAATCTACAAAAAAATTAAATATTAAAAAACATAATCAAACAAAACCAAACCAAACCAAACCAAACAAAACAAGGTAAGTTAGAAAATGACAAAACCAAAAGATTAAAATAAATTTTTTCCACTTTCGCTTCTACAACAAAATATCCTGAAACGACAAGGGGTACATTCGATATTCTACAAAAGAAGAGGGACCAAAATGAAAAACAAAACCCCGAACATTTCATTTTTCTTTAATCCACCCCAACCCCTTTTTTTGTTTTTCTCTTCAACCCCCCGACTTCTATAGTTTTTCACTTCTACCCTAAAAAACTACATGAAAAGTTCAGATTGCAATACAGTGTAGTAATTAGCAGCGTCATCTTCAAGCTCCCAGAACCCATCAAACGAAGCAGCAAAAGCATTATAATTCCCAGAGTTGATTTCTTCATCAACTCTGTTATTAGTGTTAGGGATTCCAAGCTCGTCGTCAGAGGCTTCGAGGAGGCGTCTAATTACTTTAATGCTATCATCATCTTCTTCTTCTTCTTTAGGGCTACACTCACCGCCGCCGGAGGTTGTGGTGGTCACGGCGGCGGAGGGGTGATGGTCCTGTTCAGCTTCTGAGGCCGTACAGGCTAATGGGTCACCGGTGAGTTCTCGTTGGAAAGTAGAGAAAATGGCTGATAACTCTTGATTTGGCTCATTTTGCTCTGGTTCTTCATCAAGAATGGATAATATGTTGTCGTATGATTTGTTGCGCTTTGAGTTTGAATCTTCAAGCTCAAAGACTTGTTCATGGGATTCTTCTCTGTGTCGTTTTGATTGGGATTCAGCCATTTTAGGGAGAGAGAGCGAGAGATGGCGAGAGAGTGAGAATGTGATGAGATAAAAAGGCAGGGTTTGAAAGGTTTATATAGAGAGAGTGCATACGTGAAGTTTCGGTCAAAGATAGATGAGTGTGAGAGAGATGTCGACAGGTGAGAATATTTATTACTCCCGCCTGTTTTACGCGAATTAAAAAATCTTGATATTATTAAAAAAATAATTTTTATCAATGACTTTTCTAATTTTCCTTATTCAAACTTGTACAATTTTTAAGACTTATTTGAGCCTTATTAAATCAATGAGAAATATGTGGTTAAAAATAAAT